CTGCTGGAGAGAAGGAAGAAAAACTGGCAAAAGCACACAGAAATTACAATTTTGTTCAGTTGAAGTTATTGAATTGTCGCAAATTAAATGTAAATGCAAAGAAACTAATGGAAGCATTAAAATAAACAGAACTTCCCATAAAGTGGATTGTACCTGCAGAAACATACTTTAATGAAGTGAACCTCTGCTTTGTTTTACAGCTGGTTTTCCTCCTGCAGTGTGTACTTGTGCACACACTTCAATGCTTTCTGCTTCATGTTGCTGGAAAAGCAACTCTTCATTTCTCTCTATGGCTGTGTGGTGTAGCAATTAGAATCACAGCACAGGATCCTACAGATTCACTCGTAAATCAGTGATTTTGACAAACACTTTTAAAGTCATTCCTCAGGTTGCTTAGACTGGTCTTGTTCCTTCCTATTGTTCCATGGAAGCTGACTTAGTTTTTCATCACGGAGTGGAAAAAACATGGTACATTTATCTTTAATGACCTCACTTTGTAAACATGCAGCCTACTTCTCCTTTTCATACAACCCAACTGTCTTATCTTTGTTGGCCGTGCTACAACAAGATGAATGTTAGTAAATTCCTTCTCTCTTATTCTTCCAACTCGTCAGTTACTTTCACACATGGGGCATGCTATCTTGCTGATGATCTATAAATAATATTTCATTTTCTCTTTGTTGGATGTGCTGGACAGCAATTTCAACATTTAGCCACCCAGATTTTTCATCATATTTAAAGTGTTATATGGCTTAAACCCAGGCTATCTTCCCATATGAGTCTGGGATGCTCAGGAGAGACTCTTCTCTATGTTTCATCACCTTCATATTTATGGTTGGTGATAAATCAAGAAAGGGTCTTCCTAGGAGGCATCTACACTGAAGAATTAATGCAGTTAGGCATTGCTGTAGCATCTATGGCTCAATTATGTGTAATGCTGGGTGCTGGTTGCTGTAGTTTTTCAAAAAAATCTTTAGACTTCCCTGACAAAGTGTACTGTTGCCTCACAAAACTACAACAACATCCACACCTCCATTGCATTAAATCGTGGCATTTAAAGTGGTGCCAAACTGTAATAATTCTACAGTGTAGATGCACCCTCCTTGGGGTGACCTTGCTATCCTTCTGCTGGTAGGCGAAGTCTTTTGATACAGACTTTTAGAATTAAAAAAATGTTTACAGAAAGGGATATAAGAGATGTATGTATAGTTTTATCTTATAGTGCATTAACATTTCAAAAATCTTTTAAAGTATATGTTTTTAATTTAGGTAATAGCTTAATTTGGTTTTGATTTTGATTTTTGGTCTATTTTTATTTAATGTGTAAGCTATGTTGAGATCTAGTCTTGGGGGAAAGATAGGATATAAATAAAGCTAAGATTGAAAAATTATCACCACTGGAAATATTTGAAATTATTTAAAAATTGGAAGTTTTTCAAAAGACAACACAAAGGGGAAAATAATTTGTAAGATTTTTTGAACAACAACATCATTTATGTGAAGGATTAAAACAATTTTATATTATCATCATAATTCCAAGTACAAAATTTTACTTGTAAAACACACAATTACTCTGGAAATGAATGGATGCAAGTATATTTTTAGAATGCTAAAGCATGCTTGCAGCTAATAAATGTAAAACATCAAATTATGGTTGTCTCGTTTTACGGGGTATAATTGACAGGAAAGCATTTTTATCTCATACCATTCATGCTTACTTTGAGGAGCATTTTATAATATCAATGTGAACTGATCCTTATATTCAAGTGCACATTCCTAACCAGCAAGCTGCAATGCTCGACTCCAGTTAACAAAGCTTCAAAAGATGCACTGCCAATTATTTCACATTACTGGAAATTGGGGTAATATACAGAAGAGTGGACAAAAGAGCATAAATGCATTTTGAAATATCTTTTCAGCTATTAGATGCTAAGGGCCAAAGCACTGGGACGAGAAGCAGCAATTTCTCTAATAAGGGCCAGCTCTGTTCTCCTAATAAGTCCCTTTCCACAACCAACTGAGACTTTCTTATGCATATGTTTGCTCATAATGGCACTGAGGAGTTATATCATGCCGTACCAGATTCAGCAAAGAGAACTTGTACTCTCACAGAAATGGAGCATAAATTACTGCTACCACAGGAAATGTTAACTACTGCATTTCTTCAGTTCAAAGATGCACATTTCCTCCATATAAACATTTCTAAAAATAGGGGATGCCTTAAAATTATGGGTGCATATTATGATTATTTTTGTTGGTGGTACTGAAATTAGTATGCATCTTACAATCAATGGCATCTTAGAATGGAAGAAATACAGTTTTTAATTCCTTTGCCTTTCCACACAGGACTAAAATTCACTCTGAAGTGGGTTAAAATAACCTGTTTCGGCACAGGTTCTAGTTCCCACTCCCCAATGCAAACCCAGGCTTTCTGGGGGGGGCTACGTGGGACCTCCTGAAGCTCCCCTCCCCCCATCTACCCCCTAAAACTTACTAAAATGTCCCTCTCATGTCCTCCTTGCATGAAAAAATGACATCTATGGAGACAGGATGGGTGAGGAAGAAAATCCCTCCTCACTCCCCTCTTGGTCTCATCGCACAAGGATGTGAGAAAAGGATTTATGGAAGTCAGATACATTTTTAGTAAGTTTTAAGGAGTAGGTGTTGGGGTAGGGAAAGGGGTTGGATGCCCTCCTGCACCTTTGGGCTTTAGGAGCCCAAAAGGTGTTGGAGTGCAGTGGAACCCCTCCCCACTGAGTCGTCCCGAGAATGAGTCCCCACAGGCCCAATACCATATGACACCCAGACCTTTCAAGAAGGCATGGATCTAATGGGGTATCTAACTAATTAGGAACCTTGGTTTGTTCAGAATTAATTTGTTTTTGCTGGAGTTGTCATTTGGATGCCTCCGGTAAAAACCAAGACAGGTCCCGGTTTTTTGGTCTATCTAAATGGGTCCCAAGATACATGAAGCAGTATATAATTTGCTACAACAATCAAAGTAAAATTATGTAACAGAGTTCAACTAAGACCAATGAAATCCAGGTGCTCAGCCATGAAAACTTTGGAACAATCATTATCTCTTGCAACAACCTAAAAAGACTGCTGAAAAGAGAGTTAAAACTTTTGGAAATCTTGTAAGCTCTTGGAAGGAAAACAAGACAGAACCAGGAATAAACCAAGCAGTTTATAAAATGGAACCGAGCAGTTTATAAAATGGCATGATCATGTTGACATGATTCAAGCAAAAGAACGAGCCATGCCCTGGTATTACAAAAACAGCTAAACGCTAGGTTTTCCTCGTCTTTTTCCACACTTCGACAAAAACAACATTGCTATCAGATTTATTATAGCATTAGGTTCCATTCCTATTTTCACTGTAAACCAGACATGCAAACCATAGTTTGTTGGATTTGGATATAACATCAAACTATGGTTTTATACTACGGTTTTCTACTAATTTCACATGAGAGAAGTACGAGGCAAAGGAATAAATATGTTAGCCTAAGATGTGTGCCTGCTTGGACTTTTTAAGAGATGTGAGATGGGTTGAAAGCCAGGATTTCCCCTTACATCTGAGCTTTATAATGAACAAACCCTTAGTGCCATTCCTGATTCTGTTCTCATTATGGATTTGCCTCCACTGTTCATGCCCTGTTAAACAATTTCAGTTTAATTAATTATCCCACTGATATGAAATCACCAAAGGATCCTTCCTTTTTAGGTACATGCACACTCATTAGCATCAAGTTTAATAGATTTTTTAAAGCCTACAAAAAGGATACTTAGGGAAAAAGAGGGTGAAAGGAAGCACATTCAGTTAACTAACACAATTCAAGCATGTGTTGTTATCTCTGTGTATCACAACAGTAATTTTGATTTTTTTAAAAGGTGTCATTAAAAACCTTGGGGCAGAGTACCACAATACATAAATCTATTTGAAATATATTTAAAAAATGCAAATAGATATTTTCTTAGAGGTTAGCCACTAAGATTTTTGATTCAACTTGTCTGCATTTAAGAATAACTACAGACTACATGGTGGCTTTTAGAATTTTGATTTTTGAGCAAATGTTTCTGTGAGACCAGGCTTCAGAGCAATCATCTTCTAATTCAGTAGCTCCCAAACTTTGGTCTTTCAGATGTTTCAGATTTCAGATCCCAACAAGGACTTCTGGAAATTAAAAATCAAAAACTTCTGGAGGACCAATGTTTGGGAATCACTGCTCTAACTAGTGTCTTCCAGACGTCATGATGAATAGCAACATATTACATTACACCAGATCAAAATGGAGGGATATGTGTATAAGTGGGAGAATCTATAAAAAAATCACTAGACATAAAGGATGCCAACATCCATGTATAAACTCTAGCATAAAATGCTTTCCCACCATGCCAAAAAAGAGACTAGGTTCTGTTTTGTAAAGGGTTCCAACAAGATAAGTGAACATAATCATTTGTCTTTATCCACATTAACTTCTCAGTTCCAACTCAAAAGTGTTGTCGCAGGAGCAGGTTATGGTCTGAGAGAACGCTTGAACTTGGGAAGCAATGTTTTTATGTGCAAATGCATTGAAAGATTTGATCTATCTCCTACAGTCCAGCAATCATAAATGCAATCATCTTTTAACTTCCTATAGAGTGTCTGCTTCAATTCTTAACACAGACCTAGCCTGCATCCAGCACATTCACCTTTCTTCATTTTTAAAAACTTTCAAACAGCACATATTTTATTATGTGTTATTTATCCATATCTTGCTGACATGACATGACCCAGCAGGATGTCTCAAGAATCTGTGCTCAGAGTTTGTACACATTCATTCCAGTAAACTGAAATCGCAGTGGTAGTTATTGGCCTTAAAAAAAACTCCCTGAAGGTCTGATGACCAGAACCATCTTCACTCCAGCAAACATTTAAAATGTAATAGGGTGTGTGTGTGCACACATACAGATATAAAGGTCAAAGTCATCTGTTTTATCAGAAGCCACAAATTTGTTACCTGTTCTTGTCTCTCTAACCATTTATCTACCATGGGATGGGTGGCACTTAGTGAAGAGCGAGCATTGTCCCTCTGAAACTGGTTAGCAGACCAGCTACTGGTGTCCCGTGGAAGGCTTCGGTAGTTGTCATCTTTCTGTTCCAAAATAAAGAAGGGGGGGAGGTGTGAAACAAAAGCATTGTCTAGCTCTGTGTAACAAGTGTCTAAAGGATGACACATTGGAGATGGATTAGAAAAGAAAGATACTTGGTCATTTCAGTGGACAAGCCTATTTTGTAGCACTATTGCTGCAAATCTGGTGCTACAATTGCAAGACTGGTTTCGGGACACATAAAATACAAACAACACAAGCATACTGTCAAGATATAACAGAAAAGAGGTTTTCTCAACATGGGAAAATAGATGTACTTTTTACATTCTATATGAAAACTACACAAAAGTGTCTCTTCTGTTGACTTCTGTGAGAGTCATCATAGATTAAAGGAGGCGCAGATGTAGAAGTTAGGCTTTTAGGGAAATAAGCTTTATAGGACAAGATGAAATCAAACTGAATTACACTGACTGAATTACATTGAAGAAGAGACAGGAATCACCATCCATTTCCAAGCTTCCACACTAGTAAACAGCAAAAAGCACTACTGTTTTGTTTTGAGAGTACTCAGAGAGTACTTTTACTTAGCGTGATAGCTGACAAGAAGCACTGATGAACATGGAAGGACATCCTTTTAGTGATAATGCCAATGGGATGGTTTTCCCTAGCCTATACCCTTTTTGATACTTTGGGAAACAAGTAAATATTATCTATTTGCTGAATGAAGTGTCTGCAACACAAAAAATAATCTAGGACAGATGCCTGATTTCCTCTCTGCTCAGCTTCAAGCTGAATATTTACTTAGGAAATCAAGCCATGGTTAACAGGAAAACACTCTAATAAATGTTTAGATAAAAGTTAAAAATAGGAAGCAGGCTTTAAAGTATGATAGAAAATATAATAATCATTCAGAGCAGGACACCATTAGCAGGGATAAGGGTGAATTCACTTATCTTTGTGAAATAAACTATAATGAGCTAAAGTGCGTTTTTAAAAAGTATATGAAACTCTGACTCTTTTATGTGCCATTTCAGTTATATATCCTTATGTATACAAATAATTAAGTAATACAAAAAACAAAATGGGTTTTATACACGGGGCTCTGCCTATTGTCCCAAAATTTAACAACACAATACACAATATACATCGAAAAAGAGTATTGCTAATGAGTATTATGAGGAAATGATTGCCAAAGCAGGAAGTCCTCAAAATCCTTCTCTCTCCTTCAACGGCAACTGGCTGAACTTTAAATTTTATTTATTTATTTATTTCCAACATTTCTACCCCTCCTTCTCAACCCCCGAGGGAGGACTCAGAGTGGCATACACAGGCAAAAATTCTATGCCACTATGTACAAAACAAGTATAACATATATAACAACAATTTAAAACAATAAATAAAACAGTAAGTTAAAAAAAATTTAAAACATTATTATCAGCCATATAACCATTTCCAGTCCAGTTCAACCTCCAAAGTGCTGTCATGCCTGCTGTCCAAAGGCCTGGTCCCAGAACCATGATTTCAGTTTTTTTCCTAAAAGAAAGGAGGGATGAAGCTGACCTAATCACACTGGGGAGCGAGTTCCACAGGCAGGGGGGTCATGACAGAGAAGGCCCTATCCCTCATCCCTGCCAAACACGTTTGCGAAGCTGGCGGGACAGAGAGCAGGGCCTCCCCGAATGATCTTAGGCTATGAGATGGAATGTAGAGGGAGATACGTTCGGACAAGTAGGCTGGGCCAGAACTGTATAGGGCTTTATAGTCACCCAAAGACCTCAACCAAAAGCAACAAGTCAGGTGCATTGTAATAATTCAATTTCCTATTTACGCCAGAAACATTTTGAAACTGCTAGGAGCCAAGAACAACTATTTAAATCATTTGAGGTACTGCAAGGCTAAGGGGGAAAAAATCACAGTTGGGACAAGAGATATGACTTGACGTGAAGGAAAACCACTCTCGAACCATCATTTATTGATGCGACCTTGTCATCAGATGGCTCCTTTGAATGAATGGATGAGCAAGCTTGCTACTAAGACAAGGAAACTAATGCAGAGGTAACTCCCACTACTATATTGATTGGCAATTAGCAGGGTCTACGCATACTTTTGAAATGAGGCTGCATAATCCTATTCTATGCAAAGAAGAATCCTCTAGATAGCTTCCATTAAATGAGCTGTCTGGGAAGATTTTTTTTTAAAACCACTACCAGGGCTTTCAGAGCTGACATGTCTTCTTTCAATGAATAACTAATTCTGGACTGCAACCTATTTCTCAAAGAAAATAGACCCTTAAAAATGAAGGCCCAGATGTTACTGAAGTGATAACCTTTGCTTCTGGGCTGTAATGACAAGCTATAGGTGAGCATTCATACAACAGACTAATTCCTCATACCAAAAAATCCCTTAATGTAATATGGAGCAGCATCCAACTCTGAATTGGTAAAAAGTTATGGACAACTTCAATGTTGTTGTGTCACTCCTGTCCAGTATCTTATACTGCATTCCCATAAACAAGGCACCTTATGTACCTTTTTATTGTGTCAGAAGCAACTTGAGAAATTGCAAGTTGCTTTTAGTGTGAGAGAATTGGCCGTCTGTAGAGATGTTGCCTAGAGGACACCAGGATCTGTTACCATCCATGAGAGGCTTCTCTCATGTCCTTGCATGGGAAGCTGGGGCTGACAGATGGGAGCTCACCCCTTCTCACAGATTCGAACCACCAGTTCAGCCAGGACAAGGGTTCAGCAGTTCAGCCAGGACAAGGGTTTAACACATTGAGCCGTCACGGCTCCTACCTTATGTACCTGGGAGACCACAATTGCCATGGGTAGCAAATTCTTAGACATTGGACACATAACTTCTCATTGTTTGCAACAATGGATCTCACTCTCCACTTCCCATGCTACTGCACAGGTGAAGGAAATGCAATTGTACAAAAATTAACAATGGTCCATAGTGAAATATTTAGAGAACTATAACTCAAGTGTATAAACTGATCTGTCTTATATTATAACTTCTGGGTTTATAAATTGGAACAAGCATTAAGGCTCCTCTAGAGCCATTCTCCTGTTCATTACACTGATCATTAATAGTCACCGAGGCAAAATTCCAAAGTATGGCCCATATAATAAGGTATCCAGAGCAAGATCTCACTGGGAAAGGGAAGAAACACTCAGCACTTCCGCCTAAAGCTGTCTTCCTAAACAACAACAACAACAACAAACAATGATTTATACAGCTCTAAATAATCCATTTATATAAAACACAATATGGGAATGGCAAGTATATTAAGCTGAGCATAAAAATATTATCATATTGATGGTGGTATTAATAAACAATAGCATATTTCTTCTTAACAGTAACACATCAGCAAGAGCAAAAAGGTGACCAGTTTTCAGTAAAAGGTTACTACCAGTATGGGTAACTAAATTCTCATTTCTTCAGCAGTTCAACCTCAGGAGAACAGTACTGACATGCATCATCAGTTACAATTAAATGCTCTGATTTTGAAAAGAAAATTTCCTCCTGTATTTAGGACTTTATGGGCATGGCTAAGCTTTGTAATGACAACTGGTCAGTATCAACACAAATTAATGAGACCACAATACTATTAGCCAATGTCATTTTAGGTCTTCTTTAAAGAATAAAAACACTAATAAAGAATAGTGGCATGATCAAGTTTGCAGGATTCTCCTTGTTGCATCCACCATTGACATTAAACAAGCTGGGGAAAAACAAAGGAGGTTGATCTAGATTTGCTCATATACAAAACAGACCCACTGAAATAATGACTAACCTAAATCACAGGACATTACAACTATAACCAAAACGGTGGAGAGGTAAGTCTACAGATGGCTAATGAAATATGCCTTTATTGCAACCAAAGAACAAAAAGATTTGAAATTATTTGATATAGCTATGCATGACATTTCATGACACATCTTCACAGTTAATATATATGAGGGGTCTTCCTCAAAAATATTTTCTGCTTCGTTTCTGGAAATCAAGTAACTCTGGGATGAAGATTTTAGCAACACTTAATAATTAAACAGAAGTGTCCTTTATTTGTGAGATTTAGAGTATCCTAAATGTAAGGAAAATTGCTCTGCAGTCATCTCTTTTTGTACAAAAGAAATAATACTCATACACAATAGAGAAACAAGATAACAGAAAAGGAAAATCTAGAGTAAAGATTGTGCCCAGCAAAAATTGCTCCTTTCTCATCCAAACAACGGTGTTTTCACAGATTTTTCTTTTAAAACAATCTGTTAATTTGCTTGAAAATGCTATTAAGCTCTCTTACAATTTTGATTTGGTAACAACGTGTTTGTTCGAGCTACGAAAAGTTCATACTTCAGCATTGCTAGCTACATTGTCAACTGACACAGTGCACTATTTTTCATCACTTTTAAATTTAAAAACCTGGTAAACAGAGCTGATGTGAACCAAAATAATAGTGTCACAATGTGGTTGCTCATAACTTAAAGTGGATTTCTGAATAATTAATCCACACTAATTAACTACAGGATAATAATTAGTAAAATGACAGTTCATTTAACAAAAACTAGGGCTTTGGGGAACTGACATGAAGGAGGCTTGATGCAGCTTAAATATATTATATTTGATCATTTGGTATCTAGAGTAAGGTTCATAGAATGCTGTACAAACCTTCTACATATGGTTGGACCAACTGTTATGAAGAATGAAGCAGCTGCCTCAAATTGGAGCTAACATGGTCCAGAAAAGTGTAGAGGACAAACTTCTATTTACCAAGGGTCCCCTGGTGGCACAACGGGTTAAACCACTGAGCTGCTGAACTTGCTGACTGAAAGGTTGGCAGTTCGAATCCAGAGAGCAGGGTGAGCTCTGTTAGCCCAGCTCCTGCCAACCTAGAAGTTCAAAAACATACAAATGTGAGTAGATCAATAGGTACTGCTTCTGCGGGAAAGTAATGGCACTCCATGCAGTCATGACCTTGGAGGTGTCTATGGACGACGACGGCTCTCCGGCTTAGAAATGGAGATGAGCACCACCCCCAGAGTCG